GGCCTATATATATTAAAATTGGAAAGCCCTAAAATAATAATACATTTCATTTGCAAAAAAAAAATTATAGGTCTGTAATCGTTAGTGAATAATGTGAATTTTATCAAATCTTTGTTGAATTAGGTAACTCAATTTTGTCATACAATTAAAGAATTGATAAACTCACCTGAACTTGGACGGTCGGAGTACCGGGTACAATAAACCCAGGCGGGCCATAAATTTGTTTTAATCGGAGCCTTTGTTTCGTCCTCTCCATCGCTTGATTTTGAACTGTGTTCATTATCTTGTAACGAGATGTTATCGTCTTTTTTCTGTTTTCTCGGTTCGTGACTATGTACAAGCCTTCCAAATCCTGGACTCAAAATATTCTCTATGAAAAAGTTTGTGTATTTTAGATTAGGATCGACAGCACGGGGCGCATCCATTTCACTATTCACTGCCGGCTGTATTCGCTTCTCATCCATGTTACGAACCGTCCACTGACAAGATCGTGGCCCTTAAGAACAACTTTTTTCAACTGTGTCTCTTCCAGTTTCTTAATAAGTTCTCTTAATTAAATTCACCTAAATTGAGTTGGATCCCTTCGAGAAGAAACGATAATGCGTTTTCCACTGAACACTGTTCAGTGTTAGTTGTGACCAGAGAAATAGTTTACATCCCATGATATAACAGCCAGCCAGAAGTTGGTTTCTTGTTTTGGCGCATGCGCGTTTAGACTATGCCGTGAAAAGCCATTAAATTAGGCACTGCTGTGCGAATTGTCGTCAGGGAATGACGACATCGTAATAATTATGATAAATCAATAGCACATCATGGTGAAAACGTATCATAACATTGATATCAAATTAGTGGAGTAGCCCTATGATCTTTGTTTTCGCATGTGCTTATTTCAGGCGAATGAATCAGAATCCTAACACTGTAGGCCTACCCATTTAACACCCAAAGAAAGCACTACTGTACGAGCCCATTTTGTTCAGTCTACACGGAACACAGAAAGCAATGATAATCAGGGTAATGGTAGACCTAAATCTATTTGATACCAGAGAGCGAATCAGAGTACTAACACACCTATGATATTGAGGAAAATGTGATAGCCTACGAGCACATCGGATACCCGAGAGACTCTTCGAACGCCACTCCTTTTGATGCTTAGGTAAATTTCAGAATTGGTCAGAACTAGCCCCTTTGATACCCAGCCCAAAATTAATGTTAGGGCATGGGCAAGTCCGTTTGGTACCCGGCCAATTACTACACGACAGATCTGACCATCTGCCCTCTTCGACCGCTCAAGTCATATTAAGTCAGCAGATAATCTGGCATATATTTAGCATGGATTTCCGAGGGCTTTTTCCAAGGGGATTCCATTGGTCCCCTGTTGTGCGTTACTTGACCTTATAGACGATTGTATAGGCATAGCTTTGCCGGACGGTAAAAATTGTCCTTAGAATAACTATTTAAACAGCGTAATAAAAAACTTACTTAAGTCTCTGTGTAATTAATTCAATTAATTGTGACAGGCAGATCATCCCAGTTCCGTTTGGAGTTTGAACTGGAAGTTATCGTTAGATTAACGTCGATGAATAATAATTCATACACGTGATAACAAATCATTCGATTGCAATTAAATTTAAGTTATCAAGCAACGCTAGGAAATCTGTCCCAATCCGTATCATTAGGTACTAGCAGTGTAGTGTAAAACGTAGTGATAAACGCCTTCCAATATCAGACGGAGATAGGTTGGTCCAATTAAAACTCGCAATGAATCGAACGCTAAACTGTATTGTTGTTACAATGTACTGTACCCATTTTCCAACCTGAAATTGTGGGTTTGATTTCATGCTTCAGTGTATTTTTTATTTAGCACATTTTTTAAATATAAAAGTTCATGGCACATGAAAACAAATTAAAAAATAATTTAGACAGTTATTTAGTATACCCACTACATTTGAGAGTTAATATTGTCACTTTTAAATTGTATTTTGGTTTACAATAAACAAAGAAAGAAGAAAAACACTTGTTACACTACTTGAGAGCCTTGTAATAATTGAATATATATATATATATATATGTATATATATATATATATATAATTTATATATTCATT